ATCACTTAATTAGAAACCAGGAATAACACCAAGTTTCCACACAAATCCACCCAGTCTATAATCACCTTTCCTTTCCTTACAGCATGCTGGAAATGGGCAGAGCCATCAGGCTGGGGTTTCTTGTTCATGTGGCAGCTAGGGGCTTGCTAGTGCTACTCGAGGGGTATTTCATCCCAGCTCTATGCCTTCTGTCATCCATTGCTCCAGGAAGGAGGAATGCCAGCACCAGGCTGCCTTTGTCATGTCAGCAGGAGCTGGTAGTTACCCTCTTCCCCCTTGCTGGTTTGGAGTGCTGGAGGCTGGTGGTCCCTGGGAGGGTCAGAGTGGCTGGGTGCTGCGTCTGCGACCTGCAGCTGGATAGCCTGACCATCCAGGTGTTGCACGGTGCAGGTGAGAAAGCGGGGGCTCAATGTGCCTGACACGCACCTGGCACACAGGTCCCAGCTGGGAAGGTTGAGCACAGTAGTAGAAGTCAGGATAAATCCCCAGTTGGTGTGAAATGCCTCATTGGAGTAGTCCAGCGAAGACATGCGAGGTGGCCTCTGTAGAGAACTTGACCCAGAATACTCTGCCACCCCACTGATGCAAATTGGGGAAAGATGCCAACAAAGGGATAAGTTTCTGCTGTGATTCTGTGTGTATGGGACAAAAACTAGACTTGCAGATCTATTTAATTTGTGTATCTAAGACGAAAAACATCTAGAGGGTATGCTGTAGCAGATATTTTTAATCATTGTCATCTGGGTTTTCATTTTAATAATGACACCATGATATGACCAACTCAAAGAAAACAGTAAACAGCCTTTTTATTGTTACAAGATTTCTCTTGGTAGGTGGCTAACCCGAAAAATTGCTTTACAGCAAAGACGGAAACAGAAGTTTAATGCTAACACTGTGGTGTATTTAAAGAGCAAATACTAACTTCACCACAAGGGAAATCTTTTTGCTATAATAATTTTTATGGCTGCTTCTTGCATAACCAGCAAACTGAATAATATTACAGCTGGAGGGCCCAATTCTCTCCTAATTAACAGTGGTCTTATGCAGGTACAAGTTCATTGGCTTCAATAAATAGACATAAAGGAAAGATCTGAACAGGTCCAGGAGTCTTGGGGCAGAGTAACAGTAGACAAAGTAGATCTGCATATTAAAAAGCCACATGTAATGTTTTTTATTAATATTGCAAAGTGCCCAGTGGAATTGTTTCCTATCCTAAATGTATCAAAGGCTCCTGCTGCAGCCTGTGAAGGAGATCCTCCCCTCTCTCTGCAGGATGCAGTGGCTGTTTCAGATTCTGGTTATGAGGACTGGAAGTATTTCAAGGGAGTACTTTGTGAGGAACAATAGGTTTGACTGATGACACCAAAAACTGCAGTCTCGTGGAATAGGACTACCACTGACAGTAGTGTAGGCTTTCTCTGTCTGGCAGTAAAGTTCAGAGCTGCCACCATCCACGATTCTCCCAGCAGCATTGTGTTTAGTGAATTGTACATAGCAATGGTTGTCTGTAAACAGAATCATCAGTTAATCATAAAATTAATGCCATGAAAAGTAGTCTTGCTGAATGTAAACACCGACAGTGTAACATCCGTGTTGGAGCTAGTTGCTGAGCTAGTGGAGAGAAATAAGGGTTCAGTTCCTCTCATCCTAAAGCAGGTTTCTGGCAAGGTCAGCTGACTTGTGATCCAGATATGCCTGTTAGTTAAGAGTGTTGGGGATGGTGCACATGATGCTCAGGTGTAGGTCACTATGGTACATGTCCGAAGTTAGGTGATGTGAACCCTGCTGTACAAGCCTCTCACATCCAAGCAAAGGCGAAAATTCCCATTTGGCTTATGGCCTTTGCCATTGTAACATAAATTACATGTAACTCACCTCAGTATCTTCCAGAAGTTTTATTATTCTTTTTTTTATCTAGAAATTGTGTCTGGCAGGATTGCTTGCATCTCTTTTTTTTTTTTTTTTTTTATAAGGTTGAACTTTTGTTCTAAAGCATTTACAAAACTTACTGTCACAGATTTAGAAGAGATTCTGTTTGACATGCGCTTTGTGTGACTGAGTTATCCATTACCCAGTGAACAAATACCAGTTAAGTGACTTCTGTGATAGGAAGACAATAAACTCACCTCAGTTTCTTGCCATAAAAGAAAATTCTGACGTGGTTTTCTATTACCATTAGTGTTATGAGGAGTCTCTTAGAAGCAAGTTCAGATTTCTTAATTGAATGGTAAAATAGATGCCTAGAAGCCCTTTGAATCTGGCAAGCTTCATGCAGGACTTGAAACTTAGTGATGCACCTTCTCTGAGAGACAGTCAGAAAGTAAAGGCTTAAATATTTTTTCCTGTCCCTTGTTTTGCCATTTTGAAGAAAAATATTTATAAGTTCATATGCAACATCCAGGTAGTTACAACCTCGATGCTAAAGTTAAAAGAAGAAGAGCCTTTCTTGGGTTAAACACTGAGCATATGAATAATACTTGAAGTATTTGGTAAGCCACTCAAGTGAGATGAGAAAATTGTGTACAAAACCAGTACATGAACTACTGGATGGATGGATGGATGTAATGAATGTATGAAATACATTATGGACAAACTATGTAATGTGTATTATGTATTGTCAGAATTTCCCCTGTCCCCCTCTGGTAAGCCAGAGGAGCTTTCTGGTGGCCTTAAACTTCAGAAGCAAATTCTGGTTCTCATGGTGTTGCCTTAAGCAGATACCTACAGAAATACCTACTTATATTTAGTACATGGAGAAAAGCATGTGTATCCCCAGAGGAGCTGGGTAGTTGGTTTTGGGAAGAGTTGTGTGTGCTTGAATTCCTTATACACTGAAAGACAGGTGGAATAAGTTGATCCAACCATTGATGTTGCTCATATGCTTTCCAGCAGTGTTCTTAAATTCAAGTGGATGTGTGTGCCATGCTTTGTGCTGCACAATTCAGCATTGCCAGATGTCAGGCATTTTCTGATGTTACTTACCCTATCGTGCCTTGCAAGGTTTTCTGGTGTGCAGCTGTCTGTTCACCAATATCTCAGGTAAACTGGATAAGAGGTGCATGTGAGGATACTCAGTTCTGTCTGCATCATGCTGGATATGGGTAGTACTAGCATTTTAGGGATTCAGATAACTTCATATGCAGAAGGGCAAGTATCAACAGCCTCTGAGTTCCCTAAGCAATTAGGCAACAGTTTTGTGACTTGCGCTACTGCATCTTAATTGTCTGAATTCCATCTAAACTATATTCTGGTTGCTTAAGTCTATTTGTGGATCTGACCCATTACCATCAGGTAATCTGCTGCCTTGAACAGAGAACTGTCCTGAAACCAGTACAGATGTAGCAAAAGTTTACAGTGGGTTAAAATGGCCATCCTCTTTTTTTTTTTTTTTTTTTTTGTTTTGAAACCAGATGTTCTAAAGTTTCAGTATATTGGAAACCTTCATTGTGTTCCAGTACTTGTCTTTTGTTTCAAGGAGATTGGAATAAGTATCCAATTATCACATATTAAAATCCTTAAAACATACCACATCTTTGCACTCATACGTAATAAAACCTTGTCCAAGAAATCTCAGAAGGAGACTGCAGCCAATCTTGTGGTATAAATATTTTTACAGTTAGGAGGAAAATTGGGTTACGTGAATAATTCTTTGGAATTAAGCTGAAGATACGCATATATATGTGTATATATATGTACACAAACATACATATGCAAATATATATATAAAAGGAAATACATTTAATCTGGATATAAAAGAGGTTTAGGTCTGTATGCACAAAACTAGCTGTAGCTTGGACTGCATTGCAAGTGAAGGTTGGTAATTGCTGGGTTCCAATGGGACTGCTGTGTGCACACGAGAGAGTAGAAATCAATATTCTGATTTGCTATACTCAGTCAAATGAAAGAAAACAAAAGGAGACCCAAGGGTCCTGTACAACCTAGTTCTAACTTGTAGAGAAGGAAAAAATTAAAAACACCTTCTGACAACACCAGTAGGTCTTAAGGAGTCAAAATACTGAAAACAATGAGGTTTTTCCTGTGCAAATACAGCTGGGGAGACTTTGATCCTGGCAGGGCATCAATACTTTGCCCTGTGAGCTTAAGAACAAATACAACAGGAAAAGATACTGAATAAATATGCAATATTTGAAATGGTTAAGCACTTTATTAAAAATATATCTAATGATTTATTGTTTCAGGGGGAGGCCAAGTATTTTCCTGGATAAGAAAAACATTAGACCAGAAGTTCTTTTCTAATTTAAGATTTGGATGCATCATCTTTCTGCAGTACAGTATGCAGCTAGCTTTAAATAAAAGAGTGTATCTATAGAAAGCTGGCTGTGAAAGGAGAAAGGAGCTCTTGTAGAACTCTGTTGCTGTAGCTAAAGTCATGTTTACAAGAGATGGATTCTGTGTTCTCTTTTCCATAATAGCCACAGCAGGAATTAAGGTATGTGTACTTTAAAGCTTTAGCTTTTGAACGTGGTTGGTAGTAGCTCCTGCTTTTGATTTGTGGAACTCATCTTCAGGTGCCTTTTTAAAAGAGACTATTTGTCCGATACATATTGAACTGACTGCAGAAACAAAAGATGGCCAAGATGATGAATCAAATTGAAACCCTGCTAAACTAAGGGATTTCTTAATAGATGTGCCTCAATAAATGTAAGCAACAGATAATGAATGTTCTTAAAGGTTTAGGTAGGAGGGAGGGAGGGGAGAATCATCTTAAAATCGTCTTTCTGCTATACTGACTCCTTCAGTAACAAACTGCTCTTCATGGTGTTTTAGGAACTCCATGAAGGCATTCTCCCTCCCACGATTTCATTAAAGAAGCCAAAATGTGGAGGGCGGTGGCTAGCGTCCTGCTGAGGGCCAAAGTCCCTGGAGGCCGGGCGTGCTGCCTGCTGCCGGCACAAAAGGGCAGGAGCCTGCTCACCGGGACCCCTCGGCATCGCTGGCGGGGCACTGTGCCGGGGGTCCGTGCCGCCCGGCTGCTCAGCATGAGCCCAGGGATACAGAAGGTGGAAGCTTCGGACGCAGGTCATTTCGTCCGCGTGGAGTGGGAAGATGGGAGCGAGAGCCGCTACCCCTGCGTCTGGCTGAGGGACAACTGCCAGTGCCCCCGCTGCTTCCTGCGCTCGGCCAGGGCGCGCAAGCTGGTCTTCGAGGACCTGGACGTGAACATCGTGGTGAAGGAAGTCGCTCTGGCAGATAGAAAAAAGGTATTTGAAGCAAACCTTCATTCGCCCTCTCGTGAAACTTGTCTAACAATGCTTGTTAATCTGTAAATTAGAGGCAGTCCCAGGTTATACTTTAATCGCAGTTTGTTTATCCGCAAACCCTACCGTGTATTTGCAAATCTTTTAGGAATAATCACAATTTGGGGAACCCGGGTCTTCCCCCGTTTATATGAAACTTCACCTTATAGATGTTATGCAGCGGCCGCAGAAACCCAGGCTTCAGTTTTTAGAATATAACTATGCTTTTTAAAATTCTGCTCTGTTTCTCCATGACCAGATGTTGAAAAGAAAATATAGGCATTCCCCACACATTTAATTACACTTGCACTTTTTTTTTCCTCATTATTCTATAAGTAAATGGCTTGAAAATCAGAAACACAAATGACAAAGTGATTATGACCTTAATCTATAACAAAAATATTAGTTTATTAGCTAATTTCCAATGTGCAAAAGACTTCATCTTAAAGCAAGCACTCAAACCAAAGTTGAACCCAATATTCAGAGTTGGCCTGGTGTCTGTATCTGTATCTACCTATCTACATTAACATTTGTTCATGAAAAAGAGAAGGCTATTGGGCAAGAGAGGATAGGAACTGCTCTCCCTATGATTTTTAATCTTTCCTGCCATATAAAAACCTAATATATCATTTAGATTTTATAGGTTTTATTAAAAGCAGTACATGGCTCCTTTGATATGCAAACTCATTTCCTTCATTTTACAATTAAAGATGTTTCAAACATGTTAAAGATGCAGCAGTCAGCCCTGTAGCAGCTGGGGCAGCCGCGCTGCAGGGTGAGTTTGCAGAGGTTGAGCCGTGCGGGAGCATGGCCCACTGCAGGGTAAGGGTCTGTACTGAGGAATTCTGGGCTCCCGAGTTGATTGTTTGTTACCAAAATTAATGCCGTGTAAAGTCATGCTTTAAATAGGCAAATATATTATGATAGTAGAGGAATTGTCTGCTTCCACTTATACTCAGGTACTGATGAAAGCACAGCACTAATCCTAAACTGATACTGGTGTTTTACCATCATGTGAACAAGCAGAATTATGTGAAAAGGGAATCGATACCTACTCAACAGCCTTGAGAATACAGCTGAGGGTGCATGCTGCACTGAGCTCTTTCAGTTCATGACAAGCAAAGCCATATGCTTTCGTTCCATGTTTTTTCAGGAATTAAAAAAACCAACACCTTTTTAAAATTTATTTGAAAGAGGGAAGACTTTGCAAAACTAGGAAAGGGATTTCTCTTCTAGCATTTCTTTTTTGCCTGTCTTTCTTGTCCTTTTTCTTTTTTTACAAGCTGACAGTGTTTTGGAAGATATTTTTGCTCTCTTCTGAATTGTGGTGAAGCGCTCTCCCCAGTGATATGTGCCAGCTTCTGTGATTCTCCTCTTTCTGCTAAGCACAGCTCCCACAGTGAAAGCAGACCCCACAAAACAGCAAATTAGGTCATGGGTTCATGTGAAAATGACCATTTATAAAAGGTGTCAGAATTTGGATGATGTTCAGGTTGGGTTTTCATTACTTGTTTGCCGTTATGCTCCAGGGAAAGTTTAACTGTGATATTATTGATCTAAACATTGCAATTTTTCAATTTGTAAGGGTTTTTTTGGTTGTTCTAGGTGGTGGGGTTTGAATTTTTGTGTTCTAAAATTATCTTTTGTTTTCTGTTGAAAGATCTCTATTACATGGCCCGATGAACATGCAAGCGAATATGAAGCCGAGTGGTTGAAAAAACGATGCTTCTCTGAAGAAGCCAGAGCAGAAATGCAAGAAGATTTATTTTTACCAGGTAGGAATTAAAACCACATCTGTCATGCTTGTTTCAAATACAAGGGGTCTGACCCTGACAGTCCCGGCTAGAGGTCCCTGTGTGAGGACCAGGTCTACCCAGCTGGAGCAGTGGCAACCACTCTTGGTGCCCAGTGCCAGGCTGTGCGTGCACAACAGGGACCCATGGTTACCCTTTCCCTCTTCTCTGGATCTGAGAGGAGTTCAGCTGATTGGGCTGCATTTACTTTCCTAAAAGCCTTTTCTTTCCAGAAAGGGTTAGTAGGTCTGAAAAATGAGCCTTGTGGACCAGCAGTGGTCTATGTGACAATGCAAGTGTGTGTGCAGCGTTTAAATTATTTAAATTTTTATTTTTAGAAAGATTGCAAGGGAGTTATAACTGAATTTTTAAAAATTCCCTTTTCATGGCCTTCTGTTAAAAAGTAACTGTGTAGCATAGCAACGTCCAGGGCTGAAGTTCAGGTTGTGTTTGCTCTGTGTCCCATACTTACTGCGGTAGTTGACCGCCTTTTGGTCGTGAAGCGTTTTGTGCAACTGGCGGTGTAACATTTACCCTGTACAAATCACTCACCCTCTTGAGTGAATAATTATAAACACACTAGGTTTCTCCTGATGCACATCATCATTTCTTTGGCAGCCTTTCAGATTGTGAGCATGGAACGTGTGAAAACTTGCAAGATTTCTGCTGCTGCTCTTGACAGTGTTCCTGTGAGGTCTGCTGTTGCAGAAAGTTGTGGATCTATATTCAGAGCTAAGATGGTATCTGTTAAAACAGGATATTGCTTTAGAAAAAAGAAACTAGAGGCAGGCTAATGGTGTGAAACTCAGATCCAGGTATCAGTTTCCACGGAGCTCAGCAAAAGGCAAATCAGTGATTGGTTTATGCTCCTTTTTTTGGGTGGTTTTTTATTCTAACAAAGAAAAGAAAGTTTGTTTGGGGTTTTTTTTCCCCCTTGAAAGATGAGAAATGGGAAAATATGTGGCCCTAGGTATCTCCTGCACCTATCTGAGCTTTGTTTGGCACTTTAGGGACAAGTGAAGGGGCCAGTTATCTTTCCCAGTTTCTGCAGGTCAAATATTCCTTATCTCCTAGCACCTGTTCTCCTGTAACAAAAGTCAGTTCTTAAGATTCAGCCTTTTATATCTGGCTTAAACTTAAGTGATGAGTAATATTTCCATTCATTTCAGTGGATCATATGACAGACTCTTCATAGTTCAGAATGGAACTTTTTCCCCTAGTGATATAAAAGTTCATGTCTACTTTAGCTTTGGCAAGAATAAACTACACTGTTTACTGTTTTGGGGGCTTGGGCGTGTTCCCAGAATGAACGTGGTGAAAATGCAAACCTCATTCAGGGAAACTAGACTTGATTTCTCAGGTAGTAAGAATTTTTGTCTGGAAAAATGAAGATGCTGTGGAAGCTAGCAAGATATTTTGTAGCCTTTGAGTGTATCGATGCAAATCGAATGTTGCTTTAATTAATGCCCAGGCAAATTAGTTTAGATCTCTGGTTACATTTATTAGCAAAGGTATCAGTAACCGAGATTTTAGTATTTCAGATGTAGTGCTACTTTTTTTCCCACATTATGAAGTCTAACTCTGCTGTGATTTGCCTTCGTATGCACACATTTACACAGTGCTTATTCTCAGCATCTAAATACAATGCTTGTTCTGGAGGCCAGTTTTCCCCTCTGCTATCACTGTTCTCCAGTGGAGCCATCCAGGTAAAATATACACCAAAGATACCTTCTACTCTTTGGGCAATGCTTTTGCGAATTCTGTTTGGTAGCTCTGAAGAAATATGTTTCTAAAAGTTATGCTAAATAAGGTCCTGCATTAACTTTGGCTTTGTTTAGCAGTGTCATCCTGCTCTTCCTCATATTCTCAGAGAAGACTTGGCTCATTATGATGGACAGCTTCTCCCAGCTTTTCTCAGGTTTCAGTTGCAAAAAAAGCTGCAGTTATAAAGCATGTGAGTTTGCTTGTTGGCTGTTTAAGAACCTGTTTCTCATTGTGTATCAGGGTAAGTTTAGAATTCACTTCCTTCTGGTCAGTGGAGTTACACACTGCAAATAACATGCCCTTAAGTTGCTAATCATATCCCAGCAGTGTAGTATTACAGACGATGATATGGAATGCCGGCCCTGCATGCTGGTTCAACAAATATGAGAGCGAGATCACCAGACTGCTGTAGTTAGAGGTTAACCTTCACTGCTGACATTATCATAGCTGTGGCTTTTTTTTCCTTTTTTTTTCCTTTCTTTTTCTTACAAGTGGTTATTTGCTTTTCATGTTGCTTTTATGATGTTTTTTCATTATAATTTCTGATTCAAAAAACTACGTCAGACGTGTCAAACCCAAAAAGAAGAGCAGGTCAGATTTTCACTGTATGATGGAAGGGACTATAAATAGCTCTATGGCAATATGTCAAGATTCCCCTTTTAAAAACACTGCCAGATCCTATCCATGTAGTATGCAAAGTCCGCTGTTTGTGTATATTGAGGCTCATTTCAGCCCAGCTTCCAAGATACTTCCAAAAGAGCAGCAAAAGAACCATCTTCTACTTCTCCAGCTCTGATGTCTCAAAGATACTCTTTTTTTCCCTACTGTTTACTTGTTTTCTCCCCAACAAACGTCACAGGAATGAATTACCAGCTTGTGAAGTCTCTCTGTAACTTAGGTTTTGTGTCTGGTAGAAGAAGCTTGTGGGAGACACTGAGTATACCAGGTGCTTCCCAGTATCAGGCCTCTCACTGCATTGCATTGCATTTGCTGAGGCTCATTTTCAAAGACCCTGGCACCCCAACAAAAGGACGTGGGGGGAAAAAAAAGATTAAATAAGATAACAATGATGTTTTCCTTTTGGGTGGAGGAGAAGAAGATTCAGCAGAGGTAGTACCTGGTGCTACTCCCATAATTAATATTTTTAACCTTAGGTTAGGTTATGGTTTTAACCTAAGGTTAAAGGTTTCAGATGATGATGGTCCTTTAAAACGTGATAATATGATATTGGATATATATCCAGCTCCACTGAAGTTTGAATCAGGATGTTAACAGCATCAAAGGTGCTTTCAGTTTCTCTACTAAGTCCTGAGAGATGATAATGTTAAGAGGAAGAAGTTAAAAGTTGTTTTTTACTAAAAGAGTTTGGTCATTTGAATTTATCCTGTAGTAATAATTAGTAAGAGCTTCACCCATGAGTTAGGCTGCTATATACATAATACACAATATAGCAAAAATACATTTGGTCTTCAACAAACATTAAAATTCACATCGTAGACAAAATAATTTTAGATGAGGTAAGTTAATCTATGATGCCTAGACTTTCTTTCCCATATGACTCCAGTGTAGAAGGTTTTGCACTGTCCCAATCTGCATAGTTAATGCTGAATAATTTCAAGTGTTTGTTGGTGCATGCGCATTGTCTTGCACGAACTGGGCAAAGGCCATCTTCTCATTTTTTACAAACACTAATGTAGATTGCTTTTTATGACTAACCTGGTATGATCAGAAAAAGGAATTCTTTTTTTTCTCTTTTTTTTTTCCACCCTCAAATTATCGCTCTGAAATTGAAAGAGGCAGTGACTCATTAATTCTCTCAAAAGCAATTCATTCTTCTGATTTGGAAAAGCGCATCGGTCTGGGGTTTTATTAGTCATAATATAAATGGTCAATAAAGACACAAAATAATTCTACAAGACCTTTGTTTTTATCCCTTATGAATTGTTCAGCTACATTTGTAAACACAAAAGATTTTTAATTTTGCAACCGCAACTGTGCTGTGCAAGTGAGACCTGAGGCTGCCCAGGCACTAATGGCTCATTCCTATCTTTCTTCCCCCTTCAGCTTTTAGAGCTTATGTTCTTAGATTTCTACTATAGTACAATGGAAACTACATTAACTGTGGTTATGCAGTGGGAAAAAAACGTGCTATGCTGACATGATGAAAATATTGATGAGTGGGATCAGTTACCACCAGGAAATACCGGGAAAGAGAACAGCCCCTGTTCAGTGCAGCTTCTTGGTAGATTTTCAGGCTGAAGGGGTTTTGCAGATAAAAATGGGAATAAAGTTCCTGTTGTTCGCTATATGGGAGAATAACATGCCCTGCGGGGCACAGCATTTTCTAAGACTTTCATATAGACTTTTTTAAAAATATTGTTAAGTGGAAGAACGTAAATATCTTCACATCACAGGATCTTTTTGGTTTTATGACGTATACTTTCCTGTCCCTTTTTCCAAAGAATTATGGACCTCCTAATTTGTCAAATTTGTAAATTTTGGACAACATATAACATTTTTGTCTGGGGCTGAGGAGAAGGAAATCTTTATAAATGCTGCTTATTTTAGCATAGACGTATTACTTGTCTCTCTCCTACTAGTGTTGTCCTTACCTGGCTGTGATGGTCTCTGGGACAGGTCAGGAGAGGAAGTCCTTCGCTGCTTTTCATACAAATATGAGTTGTTTAAAAGTAGTTCATGCATATATCAGACATAAGTGTTAGAAAGTAGACCTCAGATCTATTGCAGCTACTAGAAGGATTAAAACTGGCACCAGTATATTTGAATTAAGCTCTAAGATCTCTCTGAACCCCCCCTCCCCCAATTACTAATATGTAAAGCATAAAGATTAAAAAGGCTGTAGGAAATTCTGTGCTAAAATGATGAGGAAGTCGTCATATAATCTACGCTCTGCAACTTAGTATACGCACCTGGTAGAAGTAAACATCCGATAGTCAACTGCGGAAAGCCAGTGTCATTGTCAGCCAATTTTCACTTTGCTAATAGTAAAAACATTTATTATGCATACAGTCTTGAGCTGATATTGAAATGCTGCAAGTTTCTTCCCATTTTGAATGGCTTTATTGCCATGAATCATTTTATTTTAGTCATGGTTCTAAAATGTTTTCCTGCTTCTTTCTGTTCATGGAGATTATGCCTTTCTAATGTTTTGAAAGGTTTATGCAGTGCAGTAAAGACAGTGGTTTGGTTTGTGCTCT